CTAAAAGATTTACTTTATGTGTAACATGTTTCGTGAAATTTATAGCTGTTTTCCATTTCTATACTACAAATGCAAATGGCACAGTAAGTGACTATAATAGCTCAAACACCCGTGTGGTATCCCCTATACCAACACAAAAGTACATACAATACAAACACAATGGATGGAGCAATTTTGTTCTTTCCTCTTCTCCAATATATTGCTGCAGAGATAGAGAAATATGCAAAATAGTATAGACAGTTTACAATATATATTAAAGTGCAAGGAAACACTCACAAAATCAGAGCCAAGGAACCTGGCTCTGGTATGGATGACTTCTGGATCTATTGTGGGGTGATCCTAACCCTTCTGTAGTTGGTATGGTCTCCAATAAGTAGAAGAGGATCCAGAGGATGGAATAATAAAAATCTACTTTATTACAAAAATATATACATAAGATAATAAATAAAATATGGAAGAATAAAATATAAGTACTAAGTGATAAGCCAATACGCGTTTCGCCAATTGTGGCTTCCTCAGTCAGCTTTCAACAATACAGTCCAAATAATGTCCTTATATAAGTCCTCAATACCTTGTATTTTGCGGGAAAATCCGTTGTGGAACGCATTCATGCGTTCCATACCTCCGTTTACATTCATTTCCTGCTTCCGGCGGCATCCATGCTGTGGCGTCGCTTCCGCATTCTGACGTCACTTCCGGGGTTTCTCTCAGAGTGGAACGCATAGTGCGTTCCACTTGTTCTGCTGTCTCCGGCTCTCACAACAGGGAACTCCAATGGAACGCATATATGCGTTCCAAAGCTCCCACTAGTCTCCCTTCACATCACAATGCTTCATACATTTTCAGTTCCCACAATAAGGCACAAATATATGTTCCAAACTCTTCTTAGTCTCTCTCCACACACCATATCTCATGTACATAAGGACAAGAGTATATTTAAATTCATTTTAAAATATAATATATTCATATGTCTCTATGGGTAATTATAATGTCTCTGTAAGTAATCATAATAAGAACCAATTAGTCATCTTGGCATATTGATTCAACTGGAATGTAAACAATCACAGTAAATACCAATGTATCAATACAATCATATATTTCGCTCTCGGTTCTTTCGTGACGCGACATCACTAATAAGAACAGTGAATTTAAAAAGACAGTGAATTTTAAAAAAACAGTGAATTTTTCATAAAGTGACCATGCAGATATTACCAAAGTGCATATATATGTGATAAAATACCTACAATAATTTAATATCTTCCTAATATCCTAAAATATAATGAAACTATCAATCTATTTATAAGAAGTGACATAACTCAAAATCTTGGTTGAGTCCATTTGGAATTAATGTTTTTAAGTTATAAATACACTTCATCTCCTCTTCCCCAATTTTTTTATTAAAATCGCCCCCCCTCCAATCTCTATGTACTGCTTTTATTGCACATTTCTATTCATCTATTTCAAGTGCACATTCTTCTTGCCATCTCTTTAGTTGCATTAATGCAGAAAATGGTTGTTGTTGATTGATTAAATTATACATGGTCTTCCCCATCTAATATTCTATTTTCCCTAGAAATATTGCTTCTATATTGTTGTTCTTAATTTTTTTAGACCTCAGTATCTCCTTTTTCAAATAACTTTTCAAACTTAAATAATTATAAAATTCATTTGGTGGGAGTTTGAAGTTTTGGGAACTTTGACAAAAGGGTACAACTTTATTATCTGATATGGATGTGTTATCCCTTTATCTACCCAAGATTTTAAACTTATATCACTTGAAATAATTCCCATCATATTTAATGGGATATAGGATTTCAGCTCAAACATTGCTAAATATTTTGATTTTATTATTCTCCAAAAAAATGTCCCTAATTTTTTGAGCAAATGGTTCCAATGAGAGTACTTATAACATTGGAGCCAAAGGGCACCCTTGTCTGGTACCATTAAATATTTTGGAGATCTTATTCCTGAGCCTACCCCAATTGTGCCTACCCCAATTGGTGGCCAGTTCAGGTGGCCAGTTCTGTAAGGACTCCTGGTTCCAGACTGTCAGAGTTCAGTACTCTCTCTCCTGCAGTTTACTGTGTTCAGTCTGAGAGGGTGGGCTATGCACATATCAATGTGTTCTGGAGGCTGGGCCATGCATAGATTACTGTGTTCAGTCTGAGGAGGCGGGGTCATGTATAGATCACTGTGTTCAGTCTAAAGGGGGGGGGGAGCCATGTACAGGAAGCCTCAGCCCCTCTGTGTGTGTCTTAGACCCACCTCAACCCCTTTGTGTATCTTTGTGTCCCCCAGCCCATATGTGTGTCACTGTGTGCCCACCAGACTCTATGTGTGCCTTTTTCACCCAGCACCTCTATGTGTCTCTTTGTGCTACCCTCTCCCCTATTGTGCACTCTTTAGACCCCCTCCACTCATATGCCCTTATGTAGCCCCCTGCCCCATGCCCTCTTCAGTCCCCTTCTCTCCTGTGCCCTCTTTTGCCCCTCTCCCATCCTGTCCCCTTATGTAGCCCCCTCTTCTATAGCCCTTTCCCCTCTTGTGCCCTTACATAGCACCCTTCTTGTGCCCTTATGTAGCTCTCTTTTCCTCCCGTACCTTTATGTAGTCCTGTACCCTTATGTAATACCCTTTACCTTCTGTGCCCTCTTTTGCCCCTTCCTGTGCCATTTTGTGTCCCCTCCCCTTTCTGTGCCCTCTTTAGCTCCTCACTCTTCCTGTGCCCGTATGTAGCCCCCTCCTGTGACCACATAAGCCACCTCATCTCCTCTCTCCTTATGTAGCCCCCTCCCCAACTGTGCCCTCTTTAGTCCCCCTCTCCTCCTGTGCCCTTATGTAGCCCCCCCCTTCCTGGGACATTCTTTTCTCCCCTCCCCTTTCAGTACCCTCTTTAGCTCCTCACCCCTCCTGTGCTCTTATGTAGTCCTCTTCCTGTGCGCTCTTTTGCCCCTCTCCTGTGCCCTTATGAAGCCCCCCCCCTGCCTTGTGCCTGTTTACCTTCCAGCCCAGCCATCCTTCCAGAAGCTCTTAGGGTCGTTAAGCAGGGGCAGAGTTTAAAAGGAGGGTGGGGCTTATCGTGAAAGGCGGAGCCTACTGCTGCAATGCACCTCTACTCACAGAGGTCAGTACCGCATTTGAATTGGGGGGGCACAAAGGGAGGCACAGCATAATGTTGGAGGCGCGGCCCCCTCCTAGTGATGCCATTGCTTACATGTAGGAATTAACCCTGCTTACCAGCAAGTAATCAGCTTGAGGGGGCAATTTACCTTGGACAACAGAGAAAATAACATGAGCCATTAATTATTACATTCTAACGTAGAGCTGATCTTTGTGCCATCATGGTTTAACAGAGGGTAAACTCTATTTTGGCATATTCGTGACAATCACACTCTTATTATTTATTGTATAGTTTATTTCTCTTATTGACTTTGATATATAATTTAGCTAATCCCCACAGAAGATGTCCATTATCCACTATTCAGAGATAATTATCTTTAAAAACAGTGGAAGCGGAATAGATCCTGATGAGCCTTCTGATACACATTGAAATTGTGACTTGTGAGTAAGGCATTGTTCATTATTCAACTTTCTACACCATGAATTAATTAAGTTTATATTAAAGGGGCGCTTTAATGTTATGAATACAAAACAGTATTCCAACTCTATAGTGTCCATCTGCAATTAACTGAGCACTTCAGCTCAGAACACCGTGAGAGTGGAGCACGTTTACAGCGTGGCATTGTGCGCATCTGCATACCTCCTCCTGCTGCCTGGCTGCAGCTCTCGCTAAGAATCTAGGTGGCACCCCCGTAACGAGAGGCACTCAGGGCAGACCTCCCTCCCTGCACCTCTACTAATAAGCCACTGCACCCACCACTGCCCTTATCCACCAACTACAGCCCCTATCCCCTACACTTCAGCCCCTGTGTTCCCACTATAACTTCTATTCCCTCACCATGGTCCCTGTCCCCCCACCATGTCCACAATCCCGCTCACCACATGTGTATTGAGGAAACTGTCCTTAAGGCAGCAAGAGGGCTAAATATGGTGTTCCTTTAGTTTATGGTTCCAAATAGTATTTTTTTTACATGCAGATGTACTATACACAGGGCCGGACTGGCCCACTTTGATACTGGAAAAATTGCCAGTGGGCTAGCATATCTTCAGACGGGTGCACATCTTGTAGCATGGCCGAGCATACAGTAGGTAGAGGATCTTCTGTATCCTCTTCCCAGCCTGACAGGAAGTGCTCTTAGTGAGAGCACTTCCTGTCAGACCAACAAGAGGAAACAGAAGATCCTCAGGGGAGGTGTGATAGACACATAGAGGGGCTAGAGGGTAATGATACACATTGATGGATATGAGAAACATGGAGGGGCGAGGGAGAATGAGACATATGGGGGGGCTAGAGGGGAGGACTGAATCACATGGAGGGGCTAAGAAAGGGGAACAAGAGACAATCAGAGGAGCTGGGGAAGGGGAGAATGAGACACACAGAGGGACTGATTTAATGTATCTCTATGAGTGTGTGCTGAAGATCAATTGGCATTTTCTTTTGAATATAGAAATATAGCTTCTTTAGACTACTTTATACCTATTATAATTTGTTGCTCTTGATTTCAGAGAATTGCTGAACCTTGCTGTTTTACCTTTAATTGTTGATTGCCTATATACACAGAGCCAATTCCAGGTATAGCTGTTCACCAGATACTACCACCCTAGTGCTTGCCTTTTCCATGTAATTTATCAAATCAGAACTCACTCCAAGATATAATAATATTAAAATGCCATGGTGATTTTATGAGTTTCTGGGGGTTTTTTTTGGGGGGGGGGTTAAATTTAAAAGGAAAACGGCTAACTTTCCTATCTAGAGGAAATGTACATACAGTTGCATGTTTACATTTCAAAACACTATTTGAATACTTATTAAAAGTTTGGTAAAATTATAATAATTATTAAAATATTATTTTAAAAAAATACACAGAAATAGTCAGGAATGCATGAAAAAAGCTTATAACTTTATTGGAAAGAGATATATATAGAAACACCTTGTATAGTAATTTAAAAAACTGTACTATCAGGTCAAGACCAGATAGAAAGTGACCTGACAGCAATGACTAATGGACAGAACCCAAAACAACATGTCGTGGATAAATCGTGCTTTTGTTTTGTAATACTGTATCGTATTTTTAACGATTATTGTTGTTGATTTTGTAGAACATTTTTGCTTTGTAAAATATAGCGTTTTTCTGGGTTCTGACTTCTTAGCCATTTTTTTATTTAGTAGTTTGCCTTATGAACTTTTTCTTGGCTTGAGACAACTTTTCCATCGATGGTGTCCTCTATTATGGTGCGAATTTGGCGTGTGGTTTGGGGACCTAAAATAGAAAATAAATCTGTTAGACATTAAATGATACACCAACAAATCACTGTAGCAGTAACACAATATCAACAGTAGATGTATTGTAAACATATAGCCCTCAATACTTACAACAGTAACTAGGTCTCAGAACTCACAGCTACCAAGACAAGCTGCAGCCTTATGCAGAGGTAGCTCTTTTAGGTGGTCTTCTAAGAATTCCTGCACCACTTATTTTATATATCTATTTCTTAGTCTCTCTTTTTGCTTCTCTCACCTTTAGCATAACTGCTTGATTGTTAACTTTGTACCGTCCATGCTAAACTCTTGTTTACATAAATGTTTATTTTGTTAGTCTTGTTAAGTTCCGACCACCATTTATGACCTACCCCTATTTTTGTTAGTTTGGAGTTATTGCTGATAGTCTTGTTAATTTATGTTCACCATTTATGACCTATCCTCATATCTTTAAATCTCAAATACTTTCTCCTCTGTTTATTTATTTTTCCTCACTGACTGCCATTTCTCACTTCAATATCTGTTTCTTCCCCACCTTTAACTTGCTGTTTGATCTAACCCAGATTCTTTCTTGCAGCCTGGGTCCCAAACACAACAGTAACTAGCTCCCATGCCTCACAGCTACCAAGACAAGCTACAGCCTTATGCAGAGGTAGCTCGTTTGGATGGCTTCCCGCCCACACCTCCCCACGCCACCCCAAGAATCTCATTCCATTTATAGATAGCACAAATTACCTGACATCCTAAACACACTAATTATGTCCCTCAAACACTCATCACCTGCTCAATTATCACACTCCTTGCCTTTTAACCCCTCATCCATCTCTTGTAACTCTAAGATACCACCATATCTAATTCTGCATAATTGAAACTCCTATTCTCTTTCTATATTATATAAAATCTTTCACCCTCACTTCTCTCATTGGCAAAATGTCTCTGTCATTCTGCCTACCTGTTCCTGCTGACACAATTTTCATTGCTCCCACCCTACTTCCCTCCCCTCTTTATTCATCCCATGCACTCTACTTGTACCTTTCCAGTTTATCTCCACCATCTTTTCTTCCTTTCTATCTTTCTTCTCCTAGCAGCTGGTGATGTCTCTCCAAACCCCGGTCCCACTGTGGCAAACCCATCATGTGCTTACTCCAACAATCACTCCAATCTCATACCCATCTCATGCTACTCTTCCTTTAAATCCTCCTTCCACACTGCCCTCTGGAATGCACGCTCTGTTTGCAGTGTTACTTAATCCACAGCTCTGCATGATCTTTTCATCTCTCGTTCCCTACAATTACTAGCATTAACCGAAACATGGCTCTCTCTCCCCCTTTATCCTTTGGTTGTCTTCAATTTTCCAACAACCCAAGAAACTCTGAAAATAAGGATGGTGGTGTAGGGTTTCTGTTCTTACCTTACTGCTCCTTCAAACCTCTACCCACACCCCTGTCCCTCTCTTTCTCATCATTTGAGATTCATTCAATCCGCCTTTTAAAACCCATCTCTGCTAACATTGCTGTTATCTATCGCCCCCTGGTTCCCCACTTCTCTTCCTTGACCACTTTGCTGCCTGGTTTCCTTACTTTCTCTCCTCTAACATTCCATCTGTAATTCTCAGGGACTTCAACATTCCCATTAATCCACCCTTGACCCCAGCAGCCTCAAAACTACTTTCTTTTACCTCCTCCCTTGGGTTATCACAGTGGGCTAATTCCCCCACCCATGTAGCAGGCAATACTTTAGACCTTATTTTCACTCATGAATGTACAGTCTCTAACATCTGCAACACTCCATTTCCTCTCTCAGATCATCATCTTCTATCATTTGCTCTCAATAGCCCCCTCCCCCAACAACCTCAGCCTAACCCCCCTCAACTCAGAAGGAATCTCAGTTCTATAAACCTCCAGCAGCTGTCAGCTGATATTGATTCCAAACTATTATCCATTCCCTCACTGGCTATCTCCTTATATAACTCTACCCTCACCTCTGCCCTGGACGTTGCAGCCCCTCTCCAAATATGCACCTCGAGGAGGATACACCCCCAACTGTGGCACACTAAATCAACACACTGCCTGCAGAGATGTTCCCATTCTGCTGAACGCTGCTGGAGGAAGTCTCACACCAATTCAGACTTTCTACACTACAAATTCATCTTGCGTTCATACAGCGCAGCCCTTTCCCTTGCCAAACAGTCATACTTTTCTTCTCTTATCAGCTCATGCTCTCACAAACCCAGGCGTCTCTTTGATATTTTTAACTATCTTCTTTGCCCTGCTGCGGCCATCTTACCCATCTTAGAAAAAACATGTCTTGACCCATCCTCCCCTTCTAACTATCGTCCTATATCCCTGCTCCCTTTTTCCTCAAAGCTTCTTGAAAGACTAGTCTTTACCCGTCTGATCTGCTTCCTCAAGCCAACTCTCTCCTTGACCCTCTTCAGTCTCACTTCCACCCCCTCCACTCTACTGAGACTACTCTTATTAAAGTCACTAACGACATTGTCACAGCTAAATCGAAAAGGACACTACTTCATACTAATTCTTCTTGACCTCTCTGCTGCCTTTGACATTGTTGATCATGTTATCCTTCTCCAAACTCTTCAATCACTCAGTCTTTGTGACACTGTCCTCTCGTGGTTTTCCTCCTATCTCACCCAATGCTCATTCAGTTCTCCTTTTCTAATGATACCTCCACTCTTCGTCCTGTTTCAGTTGGAGTCCCCCAAGGCTACGTCCTTGGCCCCCTTCTATTTTCTTTATACAGCCTCTCTTGGCAAATGTATTACCTTATTTGGATTCCAATACCAGCTGTACACTGGTGACACCTAGATATATTTCTCCTCCCTGGACCTCTCCCCTGATGTCCTGCAACGTGTCACCTCTTGCCTTTCTTCTATCTCTGATTGGATGTCCTCCTGCTTTCTGAAACTCAATCTTTCGCTCTCCCTTCAGGTAGGTGGTACCCATATAAGCCCATCCTTACAAGCGTGTTGCCTTGGTGTTACTTTTGATTCTGGCCTCACATTTGAGCATCACATCCGGTATGTTGTCAAATTATGCCAATTCCACCTTAAAAACATTGCCTGCTTCCGCCCCTTTCTTACACAAGATGCTACTAAAGAGCTTGTCCACGGTCTAACAATCTCTCACATGGACTATTGTAACTCTCTCCTAATTGGTCTTCCCAATAGCCGTACTGCCCCACTACAGTCTGTAATGAATGCTGCCGCCAGACTGATTTTCCTCTCTAGTTGGTCCTCTCACACCTCACCCCTCTGTCAGTCCTAACATTGATTTCCCGTATCCTACAAGAGTCAATACAAAGCACTAATCCACACCTATAAAGCACTGAACAATTCTAGCCCCTCCTATATTTCTTCACTGATCCGAAGGTATGCCCTTTCTCGGTCTCACCACTCATGACCTTCTCCTCTCCACTGCTTGCACCCATACAACCAACTCACTCTTGCAGGACTTCTCACGGACGGCCCCTCTCCTTTGGAATACCCTGCCTACCACCATCAAACACTCTTCTAGTCTTCAATCCTTCAAGAAGCCCCTCAAAACCCATCTCTTTAGGAAAGCTTATGGCCTCCTAGAGCAACCTCTACCTCATATACCTGCCCTTTGCTCTCTCCTAAAGCGCAGAACTCCAGTCTCTCCTCCAGCTCTGCTTCATTCCCACCTTGTTTGACTGCTATCTCCTGTCCTATTGTGTTTTATACCCCACCACCTCTAGACTGCAAGCTCGTTTGAGCAGGGTCATCTTCAGCCTACTGTTCCCGTAAGTTTTTGTAATTGTCTTATTTATTGTTAAATCTCCCCCTCTGATAAAATTGCTGGCGCTAAATAAAAACCAATAATAATAATAATAAAATAATATGCATGGGGTAAAAGTCTAATTTTAATGGTAGGAAATATTGTATAGATAATATATATTGCATATATCATTTGAAATGTATATATATATATATATATATATATATATATAATACCTATTGAGAAAAAAATTACTTGTAACAAATAAAAAATATCTTTTAACGTGTGTATTTACATACGGTTTTAAACATAATTTTTTACAGTTTTTAATAAAATTTAAAAAAAAAGGAAAAGGCTTACCTTCTTTGTAAGATATGCTAAGGGAAAAACAAAAAGAGAATTCTAAATGAGATTTGATATTTGAAATTTGATCAAGGTATCTATAATAAACTTAACAGAAACATTTTAAAAAAAATTAATGTCCTGGTCGTACATGAAAACAAGAGCAATATTACAGTATCTCTCTTCGTAAAACCTTTGCAAATAAAAATAATGCAAAATATTTAATATAAGCTGAACAGAATTAAAAAAGTAAAATCACTTTGATAGAAATGTTTTGTTCTCATCCTGAGATCCGAGCCTTGCAGGGATTTTCATTACTAAAAAATATATAAGAACGAACGTGAACTTGTTTTGTAAGATTAAAATATTTGCCAAAATAAATTGTATTTTATATATAATTGGCCAAATTATGGTAATGTATTTTTATTGGTTGATGGTGACTGGACGTTTAGAGGGTTTTACATCATGGAAGATAAATTAAGGAACATTTAACATTTTTATACTTTTGCTAGTAAATTCTATTTAAAATAGTGACATGCTACTGTATCTAAGGATAAAACTCTGCCAATCTCTGCATCTGTATGTAAATGGGGAGGGGAGCAGGACTAGAGAAGGTGCTCTTGTGATGCAGTGGTGAAGCAGACCATGATGAAGAGAAGATGCGTCAGTGGGGCCTAATCATTACCTGTGATAGCAAACCCACCATAGTATGGCCCATCTGGAAAGCGCTCGTGTATGATCAGAAAAGCTCTGAGTTTTTTTTGTTAAACACAAGTAAGTCTAAAAGAGGCACTGAAGCTCTCACGTCAGATGACTCCAGAGTACAAATCCAAAATGGCAGTCATATACCAAAATCACAACAGGCCACCTTTACCTATTCAGGACAGCTGGGGGTATGTTTCTCTTTATATATCCTTATCTGACTATTTCTCTATTTATATCGATATATATATTGATCTCACTATATTGATTTCTGTATCTGCTTAAAAGTAAGATTTTATTTTACACCTATATGATTTGACTTATATTAAATTATAAAATGTGTAATTTGAGATGTATTTCAACAAATAGAAGGTGGGGAGAGACAAAATAGTTATTTTTCTTGGATGTTGTAAGACCTTAATCTGGTTCTGAATGGATTTATAGACAATTTATTACATTATAGGTTATGAACCAATCTAAATAAGTACCATAGATGGACATTCTTAACATCATGAATAGAATACAGCAATGATGTTTTCAAAGTTTAAAAAGTTATTTACATATTTGTTGATGGCAAATTGCCACAACCTGCAAAACCAAAAAACTATATATAAATATTTTATAATTTATTTAAATTTTTTTAGTGTATTCAAGACTTTCTCGTTATTGTGCTTACTCTTCTCCCTCTAGGAGACGTCTGTAGGTTGCAATTTCTTGTTCTAACCGGGTCTTCACATCCATGAGGATTTTATATTCATAACTCTGGCGTTCCATATCTGATCTGAGCTCTGAAAGCTGAGCCTCAACATCACCGATGAGGCTTTGTAACTGTGAAAGTTGTGTGCAGTACCGACCTTCTGTCTCTGCTAATGTGCCTTCTAGCGCAGCTTTCTATATTGGGAAAAAAAGAGAATATTAGGAATTAAATAGTGTTATATTGTATACATTTAAAATGTCACATTTATGTGCATCCAGTAAATTCCAACCACAGTTACAATTATTTATATAGCGCCAATAAATTATGCACCGCTGTACACTAGAAAACACATTAATTCTAGCAAAACATGTATGACGTATGGGAACGGTAGGTAAAGGGTGCCCTGTCCAAACAAGCTCACAATCAAAATGGAGTGGTGTGTCCTATTTTTGTGACATTCTAAAGAGATTGGGTCATATTACTCCATTGTCATTACTGGGTGACCCTATTTATCAAGGACCTTTCAATCTTTTTTTTCCAATGGCAACATTTTAAACTTATATATGCAAGATATAATTTCGGCTTGAAGAGACGGGTCACATGGGACATTGAAATTTAAATGTAACCATATTTCCAGAAATGGTCAATATGTGGTGCATAGTATTTCGGTGTCATCATGGCAGTGTAACTGAGTCAGATCCTATATTTGGTGGAAAATATCTTACCAGGCTTAGTTGTGTCTGCAGCTCAATCTCTAAGCTTTGGAATGTGCGTTTTAGGTCTGTGATTTCCGTGTTGCTGGACTGGATCTGTTCACTATGGCTGGCAACTTCTTTGCTTAGTTCTTCTGTCTGTAGAAGGAAGATGAGTATTGAGCGCCTTGTTTAAAATTAATCTTAAAAATGTTATGAAAAAGATAGATTCTAACTAACTCACCCTCTGTAAGTACCAGGCTTCAACTTCTCTGCGGTTCTTGTCAGCCATAACTTCATACTGATCCCTCATATCAGACAGAATCTTAGTAAGGTCCACAGCAGGGGAAGCATCCATTTCTACATTCACTTGACCACCAACTTGTCCACGGAATGAGTTCATTTCCTGTGTAAAAATAATTGTTTATGAGTGTATTTTCATCAAAGATCATTTCAGTGATAGAACTTCAACTGTTTTCACCAGTCTGAATAGGCACAAATTTTACGATACCTCCTCGTGGTTCTTCTTCAGGTATGCCAGCTCCTCCTTCAGGCTCTCAATCTGGATCTCAAGGTCAGACCTAGTTAGTGTCAGCTCATCCAGAACTCTGCGCAACCCGTTGATGTCACTCTCAACACTTGTGCGAAGGGCCAGCTCATTCTCATACCTTGTTAGAAATGAGTCAAAAGAGCACTCTTAAAATTTTGAACCATCAATGCACATAAATATGTATGTAACTGAACTTCTTGTGGTTCTTGAAATGTCTTACATATTAGCAGCCAATAATACTAAGTATTTTTTTACTCTATTTTAAATGCTGCTCCACATCTGGCCACAGGTGATACTAAAATACCATCATGTATTTCTCAAACAATGATCTTTGTTTGTGTTCAATCTATTGGCCTTTGCGTGCAGGCTATTTGAGAAGGGCCATTGAATGCTGCGATAAAATGTGCTTGATGACCCTTGCTATTATATGGAAACTTCACAGCTTTTATCCACCAGATCATAAAAGTGTAAGATTAAGACTTACTTTGTGTGTCTTAATATGTTTATCAGATGTAAAACATTGGTTAAAGGTGAAGGATGAAAGAATTTAGGGCATATCGTTGGCCTCTATGCAACAATTTAAGAGCCAAATTAAAACAAACTTACTTAGTTCTGAAATCGTCTGCTGCCAACCTGGCATTGTCAATCTGCAGAAGGGTGCTTGCATTGTCCAAGGTAGCATTCTGGATCTAAGAGAAGGGGAAAGGGTTAAAGAAAGTTACTAAACAATTCAAACATTTTGTAATATTTTTTTACATTTGTCATTCCCCATAGACTGTCCCCCACTAGTAACAGAACATATACATTATAACAAAAAAAATGCTAAGTAAATTACTAACTCATATTTTTATAGCAGACATTAGCTTTCAATTTTCTTAACAAACTTCTAAAAGTGTTTAAAAATAAGTATTTATGTTAATGAAAGTGCTAATAATATTTCATGAAATAGGGATGGGAGGAAATCTCTGTTTCTAAATTGTGCAACTGTTCACATCTGCGTATTCTTTTACGGGCATGTTTGTTCGTGATGCTAACACGTGCTAATGTTCGAGTTCACTAACTTTCCCTTACAAGGCTAAGGAAGGACCAGCATTGCGTAAGAGTTCTCCTGCATTTCTGGAGTATTTCACTAGACCCGGAAGTGGGAGAGATTCTAGAATGTTGGTGCAAAATAGGGATATTCAGAGGTCAGTAGTTACCTATCACGTACTGAATATATTACCTTCAGTGCAGAAGGAAATTTTTGTAAAACCTCAGATTACTTGACATGACAGCTTATTTCTTATAAATCATTTTGCGAGTGTTTTTACAAAAAAATGTGCATTATTTCATGCCCTGTAGAATCAGCAGCAATCGCAAATCACTTATGTGCTATGATATTGTTATATAGATATCAAATAGTAATATTCTTATAAAACTTATTCTGGAGTCACCCTTGTGAAAATATATTTTCTTTATACAAGTCATGTTTTTGACCTTGAATTAGTTCATCAGCCTACACAGACGAATATTCATGTTCAGAACAGGGTGTTAACCTACTTTTAATGGAATTCCGGTTGACTGCCCAACCACCTGTTCTTCTAAATGATAGAAGCTATTCATTAATACAGGGGACAAAAACGTGTACTGAATAGTGGTATTCTATTTATTTTTTGTTTGTTTTTATAATGCATTAATATGTTCCTTTCTTTTTGTGTATTGTTTCACAGAATGTTTTAGTCACCTTGTCATGTCAACAATATAAATTAATGTTATGGTTATGTAGGTCGCTGCCAGTTTGTGCAGTACCAGTACAATTCTGCATACACATGGCGATTGTGTAATTAAATGTTTAGTCAATGAGTTCTAAACTCAAGAAAAAGCAATCCATCTGCAGTACTAGGTTAAGGTTTTGGGGGTAGCCTATTTTCTGTACACCAAACGTAACGAAAGGGACACATAACCACTACAGCTCACTGAAGAAGTATTATGTTACATGCAGTGTCCTGGAGCTGTACCCTAATTTAATTTTAGACTCTTTGGGAACAGTTTGACATAAACTGTCGGTCCTCCAAATCTCAGAGACTGCTCCTTAGTCACATAGATAACGTGGAAATACTACTTCCGTGTTTTCAATGTTGAGCAATAGTGATTGTTTGACAGTGTTATGCTGGGAGTAGGTTTGCAGTTATCATTAGTGATTATGTTGCTTAGAATTCCATCTGAAAGTTAACTTGTAGTGGAGATATGGAAATATACCTTTGCAATTTGACATTTTGTGAGATACATGAGATAATGTTATGATAAGTTAGAACTTTTAAAAATTAGCAAATTTAGGCATTATTCAGTTGGCAAGTGTTGTCTACTGTTCACTTAGTTTGCAAAGGCAGTGTTTTTTCTACTTCATATATATTTGCATACATCTAGAAAAAATATACTTCCATTTAAGTGTCCTCTACACAAGTACGCCCATTATTTCATCAATATATCTTCCCTTATTAAAAAATACATAACCCAACCTTGAATAAACATGCTCATACTTGGGGCTGAGGGGTAATATGAAATGGCATTTAAGTTGATTCAGACATCATTTCTTTGTAAGTTGACTAAATCTGTACTGTATAAACATCCCCTTGTAAAGGAGAAAGTTGTTTATCATATTCCATAGATTATACAGTCTACAGTTCACTGGGTTCATTATCACCTTACAAATGAAATAACATGTGAATGTGTATTACCAGCTTTATTACAGCTGGGGTGTGATTGTTGGATTACAATATGGCAGACAACCAACTAGGGGAAATATTGCCCAAGGACAACTGGAGGTCAAAGATTGGAAAGTTAATTTCCTCTATCCATACATTATAAAGGAGGCTTAGATCCAGCTTCACATGTCACTGAGCCCATTTCATGTTAGTGAATATATTTTAAGGTTGATCAGTTTAGGCTATTATTATCTATTATATCAATTTACAATATACCAACATATTATGACCTGATTTAAAAATAATTAAAATACATATTATATTGTGAAATTTAACTGATCTGCACAAATACAACTGTTTAAACCACCGAAACATTGAATAGAGGTCAATGAAAATAACAGATAACAAAAAATGTTATACATAACCTATATTATCATGCTATACAATCTTAGGATAAAATAGGGAGTTGTTGTACATGGTATCATCTATTCAAATATGTTTTTGTATCAACATACAGATTAATAGTGAACTAGAGAGAAATATAAAAAAATAACGATACACTGATGTGTTCACTGGAAGTAGAGAAATGTTTGCTACCTTGTTGCGGAGGTCCTCAATTATTTTGTAGTAGTTACTGTAGTCATTGGATACACTGGGTTTCTGCTTCTCATACCATTCACGAATCTGAATCTCCAGCTGAGAATTAGCTTTCTCCAGAGATCGCACCTTGTCCAGGTATGAGGCCAGACGGTCATTCAGATTCTGCATGGTTTCCTTCTCACCTCCTGACAGAAGGCCATCTCCACCAGCTCCCCCTCCAAAGCCATATCCAGAACCATGACCTCCACTAAAGCTAGACACATAGCTGCCACCTATGCCACCACCAAAGCCACCACTAAAGCCACCACCATGACCGCTACCAATCCCGGATGAGACAACTCTTGCAGTGGAGATAGAAACATTTTTACCACCACTTCCCCCATGGATGCTAGGGGTCCGATAGCCACCTACAGATAGCCTACTGGAACCACCACCATAGCCACCCAAACCCAAGCCCCCTGTGGTTCCTGAAGAAGTGGAAGTTTGCCTGATACTATAGGAGGACATGGTGTGCTGTAATTAAAGAGCCTTAATCTGAATGTCACCGGAAGGATGGTTTGTGTGAATGTGAGGAATCCAAACCACTCTACCTAGATTTTATACTTTGGGAAGTGGGTGTGAGTTTGCATGAAAGACAGGTCCCTTCGTAGAGTCATCAGCTTTGATTTGCGTGCAAACTTTTGAGAAAGCATCAGGGTTTATAATCACGTCATTGGTTTGGGAAGATAACCCAATAGTGTCTGAACAGCATCACCCCTCCCTCCCCCCCTTCCTTTTCTTTCCTAAAACCTTCTTACACAAAGTGCTTTTACTCATCCGAGAGGTGGTATTGTGTGGCTGTGTTGCGTTAGTTTCTAAAACAAAAGGTCTGATTCACATTGACTCAGGGAGGTTCCTGTCCCCAGGCTATGCATTTGACATTCCTATACACTTAAACAGGTAAAAAAAATATGTTTTTTAGAGACACCCCTCCCTATACTGGAAAATATATCAAGACTTTGTGTTGTATCTGAGAACAATCCCTATTAAAATTGAGTATTCATCATTTCCTGTTTAACCCTTTACTGGGGGTTTGCATTAAACTGGCTTTACGTGACTGTAAATATATCTCGGGCATAAAGGAGCAATGTAACAGCCGTTCATAAAATATTAATGCAGCAGATGTGAAATAAATTCCAAACTTTGTCAAAAAACAGGTGTTTATGCAAACAGATTGTGTCAATAGATAGTCATTAAAATTGTGTCAATAGGCAATGCATTAACTGGGGGGTAATATTCACAGAACCTGATACAGGTTATACATTGTATACATATATTCACACTGTGGTTAGACTATGGGCACTATGTGTTCGTTGTGGGGTGTCAGAGTGTTTGGCTGTTTGGGAGGGAAAAACTGAGCACATGAATGAGCCACAAAGGGAAAATGGGGGCAAACGCGTGGCATTGTAAGTAGTAATTGCTTGTGTCTGGTCTGAATGTGTTGGAGTACTTGCTGTTGCTGGTGACATGTGATTGTCTATCCTCTATGGTAGGGATAGGCAACCTTCGGCACTCCAGATGTTGTGGACTACATCCTCCATAATGCTCTTAAACCCATAATGCTGACAAAGCATCATGGAAGGTGTAGTCCAAAACATCTGGGGTGCCAAAGGTTGCCTATGCCTGCTCTATGGCCTCTGTGGTACTCAGGGCCATATTTAATATTGATTAGACCCTACATTTACTTGGGCCTCCTGAACCCTGCCCCCCTCTCCCTCATTCCCTGGCATGCAATCATGCCCTCCACCCCAAAGCATATAGATACATAGTTACATAGCTGAAAAGGGACTTGTGTCCATCAAGTTCAGCCTTCCTCACATATGTTTTTGCTGTTGATCCAAAAGAAGGCAAAAAAACAGTCTGAAGCGCTTCCAATTTTGTAACAAATTAGGAAAAAATTCCTTCTTGACCCCAAAATGGCAGTCAGAAATGTCATTGGATCAAGCAGCTATTACCCCACTAATTAGAAATTATATCTCTGTATGTTATGTTTTTAGAAGTATTTATCCGGTTGCTGTTTAACCCCTTAGTAACCAGACCATTTTTCAATTTTCTTACCGTTAAGAACAAGGGCTCCTTTTATATTTCTGCGGTGTTTGTGTTTAGCTGTAATTTTCCTCTTACTCACTTACTTTACCCACACATATTATATACAATTTTTCTCATTATTAAATGGTCTTTCTAGAAATTATTTTCATGATATCATATAATTTACTATAAAAAAAATTATAAAATATAATGAAAAAATTTAAAAAGAAATAACACTTTTTCGAACATTGATCCCCAAAATCTGTTACGCATCTACAACCGCCAAAAATACCCATGCTAAATAGTTTCTAAATTTTGTCCTGAGTTTAGAAATATCCAATGTTAATATGTTCTTGACTTTTTTAATTAACGCAATTACAATTAAGTTATATTGTAACACTGATAAGTGTCAGGAATCCCTGAATAACCCTTCACATATATTTTTTAAAAGAAGACATCCTATGGTATTAAACTTTGACTCTTTTCATGCTCTTTTCATGCAACCATTTTACCACCAATCTATGCCAAAAAAATGGTGATTTTTTGACACACATAGCAATTTAAGAATACATGTATTGAGAACTTTAAGTGTTATTGCCAAAGAACACCCCAATATATGTTCAGCAACATTTCCTGAGTACAGTGATACGCCCCATGTAGAGGTGTGTCGAGTTCTCTGGGGTCTAAAAGACCTTATTTGGAGGGTGCGCATTCCAGTTTTCCAACTTGGAATTTTCACAGCTGGTCATCATGCACCCATGTCCTATTTGGGACATTTGTTAAGCTGGCCAATGTAAATGTTTGGGTAGTCATTTTTTTGTGTTATTTTTCTCTCACAGTGTACTTTAGGCATGGGTTCTCAGTTCCTGTTATGTGTTACTGACAAAGAACACCCCAATATGTGTTCAGCAATATCTCCTGAGTACAGCAGTGCCCCCAATGTACGGGTTTTATGGGTTTTTGCAAACATACAGGGGTTAAATGTATGGCTTTCCCCTTTTCCATGTTTGCACATTGAAATTTGCCAGATTGGTTTGCTGGGCCTATGTTACCTTTGAGACCATATAGCAGCCCAGGAATGAAAATTAACCCCATCATGGCATACCATTTGTAAAAGTAGACAACCGACAGTGTTCAAAATGGAATATGTCTAAGTAGCCACTTAGTCACAAACGCTGGCCAAAGTTAGTCTTTTTATTTGTTTTTTGCATTTTTTTACACAAAAACTGCACTTTTACTGGTGATTTCATCATCGTGATAAGTTTTACTGTTTTAGGACACTCATATTTCTGTTCAGCGAAGTCTCCCAAGTATAAGAATACCCCCATGTGCAGGTTTTATTGTGTTTTGGAAAGTTACAGGGTCAATATAGGACTTGTCCTATTTAGTTTGCCAGATTGGTTTGCTGGGTCTATGTTGCCTTTTGAGACCATATGGTAGCCCAGAAATGTGAATTAACCTCATCATGGCATACCATTTTCAAATGTAGACAACCCAGGGTATTCAAAATGGGATATTTCTAGTCTTTTGTAGTAGCCACTTAGTCACAAACACTGGTCAAATTTAGCATTTTTATTTGTTTTCTATCAAAAAAAAATTATATTTATATATATATAAATATATATATATATAAATATGTGTGTGTGTGTGTGTGTGTGTGTATGTGTGTGTATGTGTGTATATATATATATATATATTCATATATGTACACACACACACATATAATACATATGTATGTATGTATGTATATGTGTGTGTGTATGTGTGTATATATATATATATATATATATATATATATATATTCATATATGTACACACACACACATATAATACATATGTATGTATGCTTGTATGTATATATATATATATATATATACACACACACTTTTATTTACTATATATGTATAATATATTATAATTAAAGCATTTTATAATATATTATACATATATATGATTTCATCATAAGTGTATTTTGAGATATATGTGTATATATCTCAAAGTACACTTATAATGACATTATATATATGCATTATATATGTATAATATATTATACAATGCTTTAATTATTTTATAGTATATTATACATATATAATACAGATACTCCTCACTTATCGACCGGGTTCCTACGACCCGGTTGTAGAACGAATCGGTCGGTAAGTGAGTGGTTATGGGATGCTCTGCTCTGGTGCATTCATCTATATTCGGGGAAACTTCCCCGAACATAGACAAACGCACCAGAGCAGGGAATCCTATAATCTATGTTCAGGGAAATGTCCTCAAACATAGATTTGAGGGATTCCCTGCTCTCGTGTGTTCGTCTATGTTCGGGGAAGTTTCCCCGAACATAGACATGCGCACCAGAGCAGGGAATCCCCACGACGGCTCGCACTTACACCTGGTCGTAAGTGCGAGCCGTCCTAAAACAGGTAGGTCGCTAAATGAGGACGACCTGTATATGTATAATATATTTCTTTTTATTTGTTTTACTTTTTAGCAGCCTGGGGTACTGCCTGACAGTTCAGTCAGTGCCCTTGCTGGCAGCTCCTAGACTCCTATTGCGTGATTTGATTATGGTGATCACCTGGCCCTGGAGGGCCAGGGTGGCCATTGTTGCTGCAGGGGGACTGCTGGGGTCTTCGGCAGTCCTCTCCTGACCTTGAACGCCGCTGATAGCCGGTCCAGGTAAATCCAGGGCTCCTATTTGTCACGGACGTCCTTAACAACCTTTTCTTTTTTTTGGTCGAACATATCTAGTCCACGGTCGTTAAGGGGATATACATAGATAAATATATAATTTCGTTCTAAGTATATTTTGATATAAATATATATAGAGCACTAGAGCGGCTGTAAACGATCACAAGCGCTTCCAGCGCTCTAATTAGCCATGGACGTACCTCATACGTGCGCGGTCGGGAAGGGGTTAAACATCTGTCTATTGATAGGGTGGCCAAAAGGTAGATCCCAATCTGTCATGCAACTTCAACAATACTTTGACAGGGTTGTATTTAGCACTGAGCAATGTTTGTGTGTTTGAATGTATCCATGCTTTGTACAGAGTATGTTTGTATGAATGTAGGGGTTGTGTTTCTTTGTGGTGCTGGCGTTTGAATGCAAGCATACATTAATGTGTAGTGTTGTTTTTTTATGCAGTTGTGTGTTTATATATAATTCAGTTTAACAAATAGGTGTGTTTGTATGTAGTGTTGATGTAGCTTGTATGTTGATGTTGAAGTTTCAATGCAGACGTGTGTCTGTACGTTGTGTTGAAGTTTCAATGCAGGGGTGTATTTGTGTGTAGTGTTGGCATTAGAATGCTGAAATGTATGCACATATACACATATACTGCCACACACACACTGTGATAAACATACACACATTGACTACATACAGATACACAGATACACACACAGATATACACACTGACATACACACAAACCGATATACACACTGACAAGATACAGATAAGCACACTGACAACATACAGATACACACAATGGCAACATACAGATACACAGGCACATATACTGACAGACATACTGACACACACAGTCACAAACACTGACCGTCATAATGACAAAAACACAACACAGGCACACACAC